ACCCCTGGACTCAGCGCTTGCAGGCAGGGAAGCATTACCCATCAAGGACTCCTGGGGGGTATAGACAGTCTCCCAGGTTTCTGGGTAGGGGCTGAAGTCAGTGCTATTTAAGTCTTTAGAAGGAACCCCTAGAAAATAGAACCTGGTCCTTTTTGCTCCAGACAGCACCTGGCAGAAGGGTTAAAACTGCTAAATGGTCTGCTCCCCTTCCCAGTGAATCCTTTTAGCCTACGGGCCTTTGGCACCAGGTCAGACCTTTAATGGTTGGTTACCCTGTGTCACTGACACCAGGGGTCTATCATGGAGTTTGTATCCTACACACCAGCCCCCAGCAGTGCCAGATCACCAAATGTCATGTTAGACCGCCACATCCACACCTAGCCACGCTGTCACTGAATGACTGTTGTGACTGCTTCCCACTGGGGCTGGGTCACATTCCCCCTCAATAACCCCACAGCACTGTCCGCTGGCGGCTCCCCAGCATGGCTTATTCACTGCAGCTTATCCTGCCCGAGATGGCCAACGCTCCCGACATCGATGGCCAACTTGGACATTGCTCTCTCCCATTGTTCATTCCCCTCTGGGACCACGTGGGTGCTGCGGAAACCCTAGTGCCTGCCAAGGTGAGCTAGAGAGCCACCTACAGCAGCGCATGCCTGTACCAGCTGGAGTCCTGCTGCTGCTGGCCTTCCTCCCTCCCAGCCGCAGCCTTGTCTACAGTGGGATGCCCCAAAGCAGCACTGCTGGGAACCATGACCTGACCTGGGGCACCTAACCCCAGGCCCCGTTCCACCAAGGCGCCACCTTCATTCTAGAGCTGCCCTGATGGCTGAAGCCCCCGCCATAGCCCTGTCTAGGTGAGCATGTCCGTTGTCTCAGGCCTCTCTCCACCTCCTGGAAACATCCTGTCATTACTCATCAGGCCAGTGAAAAACCAGACGAGCCTGCGAATGCAGAACCTTAAAACATGTTTATTTTCGCCTATGTCTATGCGTCAGAGCACAGCCTACCAGAGAGAGCTGCAGCCCGTGTGCTCTGCGGGCCGGGCAGCTCTGGCTGAAATGGAGAACAGAATGCACATCCCGTGCAGGGCAGAATAACATTCACGGGGCCTGCAAGCCCACAGAGTGGGGCAGGAGTGGCCAGGCTCTGCCTGGAGCTATCTGGCCCCGGCCTGGTGGGAGCAGAGCAGCCACCTTTGACCTAGCCTGGAGGCTCCCCAGACACAGCGGTTAATTGGGACACCTCCCTCTGCGCACGCACGCACGCATGCACACAGACATAGACACATAGACACACTCTTCCACCCCCCCGCCGTGGAACCAGAGCTCCTCCTGCCCCCTCTCTGCTCTCCCTTAACCCTCCTGGGGGCTCCTGTCCACTGCCAGGGACCCCTTTAGGGTACAGGCTCTCTGTTCAGCATGCTGGGCCCCCAGCCCTGCCCTGTGGGTTTCCCTCTCCAGCTTCCTTCCTCTGAGCAGTGACCCAGCATCACCACTCCGCTCCTGGCTGCTCCCAAGCCCCTGCTCCTTGTATCAGCGGTGTATCGAGGAAGAGCTGCGAGGATGCTTGGGGGGGGGGGTGCCCCTCCATCAATACCCTCACAGGGTGGATCCCTGGACATGGGGAAGAGGTGTCCTGCCTCTCTAGCATCAGCTGTCGGGCACTAGCAGAGAGAGGCATCCAGATCAGGGGCCTGATCCTTCGTGGTGCTGGGCGATGGAGTTGAAGGTGCTCAGCACCTTCTAGGATCTGCCCATTGATTAGCAAGCGCAAGGGTGGCCAGTCTTGCATGCCGTGATCTCAGTCCTGTCTTTTTGGGGGCTATATCTCCTGGGATGTGGCAGGGATTGGGGGGAGGAGAGCTCTCCCATGGCTCTTGGTGGGCTGCATTTGCCTGTTTCCAGTAGGATCCTGTCAGTCTTCCCTGTGTGGCAGACACAGGCCGGGGGGTTGCCCAGACCTGTGCCCCAGGCCCCTCTTTCTGTGCAGGTAGTTGTGCAGCCAGTGGGTGAATCTTCCAGCCACTTGTTTATTTACAATGGGAAAGAGAGTGGGGGGCTTCCCCTTCTGCCTGCGCAGGACTTAGGGGAGGAAAGGCCTTAGGAACGATTGATGATGCACAGTGTCATCCGGTGCCATGAAAGCAGGCAAGGCTCTAGCTGTTCACCAAGGGGCTACTGAGGTTGGAGCTCAGGCTATGGGGACACAATCTTCTGGTCAGATGCAACAGACACTGGCTGGCTTGGGGGTGGGGAATAGGCTCTTGGGCCTTTTCCCTCTCTGGGGCACTGGCTCTGATCTGGTGGACTGGCCAGCTCAGGGGGAGGGGAATAGGATACAGGGCACTGGAGATCTGACTGCCCAGAGCTGTCCTTTCTTCCCTTCTGCATGGCCCCGTCAAGGCACACAGCCATGGTGAGGAGCTCAGAGCAGGGCCGGCCCCACGGGGGGGGGGGGGGGTGCGGCCGGAGCCCCGGGGGGGGGCGGCGGGCCCCGGCGGGGGCCCCGCCCTCCCCCTGGCGGCCAGAGCGCAGGGGGCAGGGCGGCGAGCCTGGCTGTGGCCCCGCTCTCCCCGGTGGCCGGAGCGCCGCGCCGCCCCCCTCCAGGTGCCGCCCCAAGCACAAGCTTGGTGGGCTGGTGCCTGGAGCCGGCCCTGGCTCAGAGCAGGCTGCACCATCGAGCATCTAGGGTTTGCCTATCGGGCCCTGCTGGGGGTCACCAATGGCTCCCTAATGCACATTCTAGTAAGGCAACACCCCCCCTGCATCCCCTCGCAAGGCCACAGCACACAGCCGGTGGGACAGCCCAACACACAAGCTGGCACACGGAACCCAGGGCTCCCGCTCTCTGCTTCTGCCCCTGCCTTTCTGTTCCCGGGAGCAGCGCCACAGGGAGCTTTTCAGTTCTCTAGCCCTGCTGTCCCTGGCGTCTCCCAACTGGGCAGTGGTGCAGCCCCTACATGGGGGTCTCTCCACGGGGCTGAGTTGTGTCCTGGCCCATGGGTGGGGCTCTCAGCAAGCCAGGGGGCGGTGCAAGACACGAGCCCAGCCAGCAGCCTCACTCGCCATGCGGCCCTGAACTGATGAGCTAGCTCAGCCCACCCCTCTCCAGCCAGGGACAGCTCTCTCGGGCAGCCTGGCTCTTGAAGGGGCCGCTGGAGAGCTAGGCATAGCTCCTCCTGGCAGCTCTGGCCATAGGTCTGGGCAGTGGGCTGTGCTCCCCGGGCCTTAGGGGATCTCATCCCCTTTGCTTCCTGTCACATGCAGAGGTGCCCACAGCTTCTGGCAGGCAAGCTGGAAGGGGAGCAGCAGTGTTTGGAGGCTGGGTCTTTGAGTGGGGTGTGTGTGTGCGTGTGTGTGTGTGAATGTGCACACGCACGTATACTCTCATGCATACTTGTGTGTGCTCTCAAGCACACACATGCATCCATACGCACACAGGTATGCAACACCCCCATGCACACTTGTGCACTCATCCACACGGAGGCATGCACACACCCCTAGCAAGGTACCAATGTGCTCAGTCTCACTCCCCATCTCTGACCTCTCCCAGACAGACACGAGCCGGCAGAGTCACTCGGCCCCCTTCGAGCTCCACGCTCACAATAGCCCCATGCACACAGCACAGCCGCTCGGACCCTGTGTGCCAAGCCACACACCAGCCCACAGATCCGCCCGCTGAGCATGTGAACTGGGCTGGATGCCCTTGCACAGATGCGATTGTACGGGGGGGAAGGGGGAGCTGTGTGCAGCAGCGTACGCGTGTCACTCCAGGGAGGGCCAGGCAGACATGGGAACCGGCGTGTGGAGGGCACTGACCTCCCCTGAGTCAAGTCTCCCTGTTTCCCCCCCCACCCCCTTCCTGCAGCTGCCTCAGCCTGCCCGGGGCGCTCCCTGCCCAGCACCCAGGTGGCTGTGGTATTCGGGGAGCTCACAATGAGGCTGCAAGCTAGCAGGGCTTTTTGGGGGGATGGGGAAGTGACTGCACGGGTGGGGGAGAGGGGCAGCTAAGCAGCCTTGTCGTTCCACAGGTGCCAGGACTGAATCTCAGTCGCACACAACCCCCCCACCGGGGCCAAACCCCCCCCTCCCCCCCCCCCCCCCCCCGGCACAATCTCTTTCACACACACCCTCCCCTTGCTCTGCCCCCTCCCCCTGAGCTCCCCGCTGTGTGGCTTGCAGGCTGGTCTCACCTGGATCGCATGCTTCTCTTGGAGGACTCATGCTTCACAATAACATGCCAGGAAAAGCATTTAGATGAGTCCCGGAGCTGAGCCCCGTTCTCGGGCTGATGAGTGGGATGGAGGAGATGGCGCCTTGCGCTCCTTCTGCTTGTGCCAGCCATCACCTTGGGCCCCTCACAGGCTCGGACAGCCCCCAGGGCGATGCCAGCTGGGGCAGTGATGGAGAGATCTAGGGCTCCAGGGAGAGGCCACAGCGATGTACCATGGAGCTTGCCACTCTTTGCTGATGATGCTATTCATGGCCAGAGAGATCAGTGGGGGCTTCCCTCTACCCCAATCTCTCTGGGCTGCTCTTGCCCACCTTTGTTCACCCCCTGCTCCCTGAAGCTAAGAGAGCCACTAGTAGAACAGACGGCTTGAGAACCAGCTGTAGGCTGGGTGGGATCCCCACAAGGTAACACCCAGACAGCCATGGGCATCTGATTAGCTCCCCCTACCTTCATGTACAGCAGCACCCTCCCTCTGGGACCCCTCCGTCTGAGGGAAAGGGGGAATGCTATCTCCTCTACGGATAGCGCCTGCTTAACGCAGAGTCCTCTAGCTGCACCTGGTGCATAGACCAAAACCTGCCTCCAGCTGGCCCGTGCTGAGCGAGTTTGTTGCTAGCAGGCTCAGAGCTGGGATGTCCATGTCAAGACCACATCTCTGTCCCCCTCATATGGGGGCGGGCAAAGGGACCACTGCAAGGGGACAGTCTGCTCTTCTGCCCCCACTCCTTCTCTGTGCCTATCCCCTCCCTGGGAAGGGCCCAGACTCTCCCAGGTGAAAGGAGAAGGGAAAAGGAAATATAGGATGGAATCAATTTGTAGCTGGGCAGAGAGAAAAGCCACCAGGATCAAAGGGGTGGGGGAGGCTTAAGGGGGGGTGTAGAAGGAGCAGGAGCATATTTTGTGGGCCCCACCCCTATGTCTGCTCGGAAGTGCTGCTACATCTGATCACAGTTCCCAACCCCCCTTCCCTGCAGGGCTCCTGTGCTCTGGCTGCTGCCTTCAGCAGACTCCATTACCAGCTCCCCTTCCTAACATCCCTGGAGCACCCAGTCCCTCGGCTCGCTGGGACAGCCCACACGAGCACCGTACAGAAGGGGTAGAGGCACAGTGCCTCCCTGGCAGCCACGGCACAGCCCGCCAAGGGGTTGCTGATGTTCTGCAATGCTGAATAGCTGTCCCGGAAACCCAGCTTGTGCCTTGATGTATCATTGTAATTAGGAATGGGAATCTGATCATTAGGCTGTCAGCCAGAGAGCTCACTGGGGGACCAGCTGGTGTTGATCATGCCCCACTGTGTCCTGAGTTCCCGCTGCAGGAGGGGCAGCTGGCATGCCATTTTACAGGCCCCAGGGGGGATCAATTCCTGCTTTCATCCTGATGGAGCTGAAAATCTTTGGGTTGCCTTAGTTCCAAAAGGGGGTGTCTAGCACGAGGCTGGTTGGTAGCAGGAGAGAGACCCCCTGCTCCCACACGCTGGTCCCCAACGGATGTCAAGGCTTTCAGTGGCCAAGCTATAAAGCAGAAGGTGACCTTCAAATGGCGGATCCAGGCCAAGGTTGTGGTGCTGGGACACCTCAGAGATGAGCATGGTTGCGCGCCAAGGTAGTCAGAAACAGACCTGGGATGTCCCTTGAGCAGTAAGGAAGGATTGCCCCAGCATTGCAGCATGGGCTCTTTCAGCAGCAACCCCCTGCCCCACCTTCTCAGCTCTGTGGGGCACTGGCACCATATCTCTGCTACACGTTTCATTTCTTGGTGGGACTCTGCAAAGCTCTGGCTGGAGTTCCTCGTTGAGGGCTGGGGGCGGCTGCAGGGAGTGGACTGCCGGGCTCTGCTTGCTGCTTGGGCTCTGCTGATGGGAGGACAATGTTCATTGGGGTGATAGCAGGATCCGTGCTGCACAGCGGGAGGCAGCGCCTGGCAGCAGCGTTGTGCCATGTGCATGGAGACCCATCACCCCACTGCTGGGCCCAGCCCCTGCCCCGCTGGCCAGCTGCACTCTAGGGGAGGGTCACTACCTGTCCTCGTCCACTCGCTCTCCAACACTCCCATCTCTCCGCGTCTTCCATACACCTACACTACGATGGGCGTGTCCGAGAAGACAGAGCTGACAGAGTCCGGGTCTGACATTTTCCTGGGGGCCTTCTGGGCCCTTCTGGCCGCCTGCTCTGGCGTGCTGTTGGGTTTGACCTTACCATTCTGGCCTTGCATGGGGCCGGAAGCCGCAAGGTGGCTGAGGCTTCCCTTGCAAACAGCCACCTCGGGTTTGTGGTTGGGCGTGGTGCTGAGCATGGAGGAGTTGATGCTGTCCTCCGGTTGGGCGGACAGTTTCTCGTTGCCACGGCAGCAGCAGCGGCACGGTGTCAGGTACAGGTAGATGAGCACCAGAATGACGCTGAGGATGCAGCCCACCAGTGTGGTGTAGGCCGTGTTCAGCGTGTCGTGAGGTCCGTGCTGGGTGAAGTTGTGGACCATCACGTCCACGTAGAGGGTCTCATTGAAGGCCTGGCTGACCGCATAGCAGGTGTACGTGCCCATGTCCTCCACCCGGATGAGGCGGATCTGCAGGCTGCCATTGCCCAGCACTGTCATGGTGCTGTTGGCGGTCTCCTCCGGGAAGCGCCTGTTGTTTGGGGTCACCCATTCCCTGGTGGTCGCCCCCCGGACCTTGGTGTCGCAGTCGATGGTCACCGTGTCCCCCAGGTAGGCCTCCAGCATGTGCTCCTTGAACTCGCTGCAGTTGAGGGAGTCGTGGCTGTTGAGAGTGAAGACGCTGACGCTGCGCTTGGCCAGGGGCAGGCTGCACACCAGCTCCTCCCGGAAGTCCACTACCGAGCTGAGCTGGCGTGCGTGCCAGTGCGTGAAGAGCTCGTACAGCCCGCAGTCACAGCTCAGCGGGTTGCTGTGGAGGTAGAGGCCGTTTTTCATCCAGGCGGGGAGGCCTTTCAGGGCCGCGACGGGCAGGCCCTTGATTTTGTTGGCAGAAAGGTCCAGCAGGGCTAGGTCGGGCAGCTTGGCCCGGTCCTTCACCAGCTCCATGGGGAAGCGGGAGATCTGGTTCTGGCTCAGGTAGAGTTTCTGCAGCCTGGCCATGTCATCGAAAGCGCTGCGGTCCATCTGGGCAATCTGGTTGTTATAGAGCAGCAGCACCTCCAGCTCCTGCAGCTGGCTGAAGAGGAACTCCTCCAGAGCCTTGATGCTGTTGGAGGAGAGGTCCAGGTACCGCAGGTGCGGGACGTGGCAGAAGGCCTCGGTGGAGATGAAGCCCAGGGCGTTGTGGTTGAGCAGCAGGGAGTGGAGGTGGGGGAGGCGGGCGGGGGTCCAGTCTGCCCGCAGGCGGGTCAGGTTGTTGTGGCTGAGGTCCAGGATGGCTGTGAAGCGAGGCAGCTTAGTGGGGATGATTCCCAGGTCCAGCTTGGAGCAGCTGATGATGTTGCTAGCACACACGCATTTTGGGGGGCAGTTCAGGACCGACCCCCCTTCCGGGGCAAGGCCACAACCCAGCAGCAAGAGGACCAGGAGCCAGACTCTCCCGCAGCTCAGCCCCAGGCGTTGACCAGGCGCTAGGTACCAAAGCCACATGGTAAAGCTCAGCGAGACAGGGCCAGGTGCCAGGCGCAGAGAGCCGCAGAGCCGGGAACCATTGGTGCAGCGGTGAGGCTGGTGCTGGCTCGGAGGCTGCTAGGATCTGGTGCAGCGAGCGGGGAAAGCTTGGCACGCTGCCGGAATATTAATCACCCGAGTCATGCTCGCATCCACCTGCTCTTTGCCATGGGCTGCCCGGCTGCAGCGCGCCCGGAATCACCGCTGCGGGCGGGGGATCGGGCCGGGCGGGCCAGCGGGAGCGAAGCCTGGCCCTGCAGAGTCCGTCTCCTCGCGCCTTGCTGCTCTGCGCCGAGCCCCGGGCCGGGCAGGCGGCGCCACCGCTCCCTCTCCGAACAGGACGGGTGCGGGCCGGGCCGCGGGTCCCCCCGTCCGAGGAGAGGCCCCCGCGGTGCTCAGCCCATCCTCGCGTCTCCCGGGACCGGGGCCGAGCGAGCCCCCCGCGCCGCTCTGCGAGGGCAGCTCCCGGCCCGCTCCTCGGACGGCGCCGCGCAGCGGGGGAAGGAGCCTGTGGCGCAGCGAGCGCGGGGAGCGCCGGCCCCGGGTGCCGGGCGGAGGCTGTCACCGCGCGGGGGGCTGGCTGGCCGGGGGGCCGGGCCGGCGCTGCCCGTCCCGAGCCGCGCTCATCGCCGCCCGCCGCAGCCGGGAGCGGGGCCGGGCTCCTCGGGCAGCGGCCGGCCGGGAAGCCCTGGGAGCGAGCGAGCCAGGGAAGCCCCGACGCTGCAGCAACCCTGGCTCGGACCCGGCTGGAGGGGGGCTGGGGGCTGCTCCGCGCCCGCCTAGCTTTGCAAAGGTTCCGGCTCTCGGATCCTCCTCTGCCTTGACGGGCACAGGCGCCTTATTAGCATTATTATGATTGTATTATTCGGGGGGGGAGGGGAGCGGGGGGGCGGCGCGAACCAGTCACCAGCAGCTCCCGGCGCACCGCGGCCAGGCATTGGCTGGGGCTGCGCCGCACTAGCCCAATGAATCGTCGCTGGCTTTTAACCTGTGACGTGCTGCCTGCCAGCAGAGACATCCAGCCCCGCTGCTGCAGGAGCAATGCGGGGGGAAATAGGGCCAGGCCCGGGCTGTGATCTCCTTGCGGGGACTGAGGCTGCTCAGCACGCTGCTGAATTAGGCCCCTCTATAGTTTATAATTAGAAGAGGATTCCACAGTGCAAACTCTGGGCTGGCTCCTGGGCATGCAGTGCTTACAGCCTGGGAGGGTGGGTGGCCTCCTGTGTTGGAGGGAAATAAGGGAAAACCACACGAAAAATAAGGGAGAACACCATGTCCCTTTGCAGAGCATGAATTTTTCTCTCACTTGTACATATCTACTGCCCTCAAGACAGCACACATTGCCGTTGTCACCAGCGTCAATGTAATGTACTTACCAGTCTGAATACATTTAATGCATCTTAAAAATAAGAGATGCGTGGTCACCCAACTGCCAGCGACAGGCAGCACTGTGCCCAGGGATAAGCATTCACAATGTCAGATACTATTGATTGAGACAGATCTTATTCTTTAGTCTAATGCGCTGGCAGGTTCACAGCACCTTCCCGTCTAGATTAGACATGGCACAATAGCACATGGAGAGCAGGAGAACAAGGGGAGGATGGTGGGGAGGGAGTGGGCACTAGGTAAGGAGATGGGCCAGAGGGGTGTGTGCATACATCTAGATGGGATTGTAATCGAGCTAATGGAGAATTCCCCACTGGAGAAAAAATTGCAACAGAAAATGGCTTTTCGGACGAAAGACATTTTCACAAAAATGTCCATTTTGGAAAAAAAGATAATTTTTATCCAAAACCTGAAATATTTCTATTTTAAACCAAAATATTTTAGTTTTTTTAAAAAGTCAGAAAAATATCAAATAATTTTGTTGACAAAAACAAATATATTTTTGGTTTGGTTGAAATTTCTCCTGGGAAAAACAATCCAGCCCTAGTTCTGAAACTTTTGTTTGTTTATGTAGCTTTAAGTGCAAACTGGGGAGAGGGAGGAGGTTCCTGGTAGCAGGGCTCCATTACGCTGGTACTAGAAGGCTGGGCCAGACTGAGGGGTAGGCATTATAGGGTTTATTCCCACTGTAGGTCCCACATGGGCAGTAGGACCCCAATGCCTGGGAACAGCACCGATTTCTCAGGGCCGGGTTCACATCACCCTCTTCCCCCTGCAGTGTCTGTGCATCCAAAACAGACATAGCCCCCCCGGCATATTTTACCCTCTTTTGAAGCATCAGTTATTGCAGTAGGCAAGATACTGGATGAGGCCAGTCTGCATATGGAGGAGACTAGATGGACCATTGGTCTGACTCCTTACAGCAGGAGGCGGGATAGTGGCATAGCCAGCCCAGTGCTGTGTGCAGACCCAGAGAGCTCAAAAAGCCTGTAAACATTTGGGTTCTTACTAGTCCCAACCCTTAGAACACTTTGAGGTTTGCCTTTGTGTTATCTCCGGTGCCTTTGTGGTGGTCTCCTGCCCCTTGGGGCCCCGTGTAGCCCAGTGTGTGTGCTCTGCAGTTTGCTCTGCAGGCTGGAGGAGAGACAGACATGCAATATTCACTTCTTTTCTACTACTCAAAGGCAAGCCAGGGAAGCAGCCAACTTTTCATCTTAGTTGTGGTTTCCAAAGTTACTTTTAACTGAGACATCAAGGAAATTGCTAAAGGTCATAAATTATTAGTGCCTTTAAATTTTCATATCACTTATGGGACTGGATCTTTCCCAACACAGACGCCCACAAACACAGCATTAATCCTCTCTCCCTCTCAGCAGAGAGCTCGGGAAGGATGGCTACAAATCATGGGCTGCAGTGAGTCGATGGAGACATGTTGGGCTAAACTCTCTCAGGGACAGCAGTGGAAACCCCTTTGACTTTGATGAGCAGTTGAGGGCATAATCTGACCCATTGAATCCAGATGGAATTGGATGGAGCAGAATGATATAAATAGCTGTGAAAGGCTCAGAGGTGGCTGAACAGGGTCGGAGAAAACAAGAACCAGCCCGAATCTTCAGCCAAGGCCAAGTCTTTCTTTGACATTCTGAAAAGTCTGGTCTGGTCTTCTTGGGTGGATGCAAATTCGCATGTGAAACTGGGCTGGCTATCTAGTCCAGTATCCTGCCTCCTGCCATACTGAATCATAAACCCAATGTTTGTAGTTCATTCTGTGACACTCTGTACCTTGGGGGAACGCCCAGCACTCCCATGTTCATCCTTGTAAAATGATTATGTGGTATCCAATGCAAATGTAAGCGGGGGAATGGTCCTGCTGTTGTGGGGAACTTTCCTGGCTTCTGCACTACCCCGGTGAAGTGGGCTAGCGAAAGGATCTGAGTCCTCGCTCCCACTTCCTTTACCCAGAGGCCTCCCTGCCCTTGAGGACTCCCCTTCCACTCTCCTGTCTGGCAGAGTCCTCGTAAACCCTGACAAGGCTGGGCCCAGGATTCCTGGGGGGCTTGACCCCCAACAGTGCTGTGGTCACCCAGGCCAGGGGCTAGGGTGTCCCCACTCCGGGGTACTCTCTCTGCACTAGGCACCTCCCTGACCCACTGATCATTTCATACAATTTAAAGCAAATACAAGTTGTTTAATTAACAATTAATTTTAAAAAAGAATAAGGAAAAATGGGAAAGGTTAAAGGAAAACACATCACCCCGCTCTGTGGCAGGGAACATTACAAACTGTGTCTCTGGAACGTCAGGGCAGTTCACAGTCTGTTCCTTGTAGGTCCCAGGCCTCCTTCTCAGGCCCTGGCTGTGCTGCAGAGACACTGTGGGTTGGACACTTGCTCTGGCGGTGGCCACACGCTCTCAAGCTCTAGGTGGCAGGACCCTTTTTCCCAGCGTCGCCCCTGCCCGGTCGGGGTTATGATCCCCCTCCAAGTCTGGCCTGCAAGGCCTCTTGGCTGAGGCGTCTCCCTGTGCTGGGCCCACTGCCCAGGGTCCCCCTCACTCTCCCCAGCTGCTCACCACACCCCACTCCGGACTGCTCCAGCCACAGCTCCAGCTCCACTCTGCCTCAGCATGGCTGCTGCTGCTGCTCTGCCTCCAGCTCCCTGGGCTGTTTCTCTGGCTCTGGTTGCTACAGCTCTGCCCCCAGGACAGGTCGGCTCTGCAGGCTGCTTCTGCGACTCTGCTCCCAGCTCTGACCTGCTTCCTGGCTGCTTGTCTAGCCCCTCTGGCTCTGGTTGCTGCAGCTCTGCTCCCAGGGCAGGTCTGCTCTCTCTGGGCTGTGCTCTGGCTTTGGGGCTGCAGCTCTGCTTCCAGCAACTTAGCTCGGGCCCCTGCTCTCTCCTTAGCTCGGCCCCGCTCTGTCTGACCCAGGCAATTCCAGTTCACACACGGAGGACCGGACCCCCCTGGCCTCCTGACTCTCTGATTAGCCTGCCCGCCCTGTCAATCAGGCTGATCTGGAGCATTGGCCTCTCCCCATTGTTCCTGGGGACTGTCAGTCTCAGGCTCCTGATTTGCCATCGACCCTTCCCCTTTTAGTGCTGGGAGCTAGCCAACCAAAACACCCCCACTGAATGTTAGTAAGGGGGCAACAGTCCCCTTACACAAAGTTTGTCATGTGTCTTCGGAAGGCTCATGATCATTGTTGTTATAGTGATGTTATAGTAATTGTTGCAGTAATGTTATAGGCTATAATTTCATGTATATAGTTATGAGGCTGAAAATGTATCCTCATGGCTTAAAATAAGGCCAGGCAAAAACTCTCCAAGAGCAGAGAGGCAGTTCACACCTCATCAGGATAGGTATGGGACAAACCCAGCCCAGCCTCACAGGAACAAAGGACGTTGGCCTAGGCAGCAACAAAATAATCTCTTAGACTCTCAAGTGAGTCACTGCCCTTCCTTTGGTCAGTTTGGGACTGCGATGAAGTAATGCTCACCTGACTCTGAAGTGTGGGGGCAAAGCCAAGAGGGAAGAAAGGACATGATAAAAGGGAGAGATGTTTGCCATGCTCTTCCTCTCTCTTCCACCTACATCTAGAGACATCACCACCACCAAGCGACTGAATCGCTGATCAAAGGGGAGAGCCTGGCTGAAGAGCAACCAGCCAGCCTGTGGTGAGAAGCATCTAAGTTTGTAAGGACACTGAAAGTGTTAAGATCAGCTTAGAATGCGTTTTGTTTTTATTTTATTTGACCAAATCTGACTTGTTATGCTTTGGCTTATAATCACTTAAAATCTATCTTTATAGTTAATAAATCTGTTTGTTTATTCAACCTGAAGCAGTGCGTTTGGTTTGAAGCGTGTCAGAGACGCCACTTGAGATAACAAGCCTAATACATATCAATTTCTTTGTTAAATTGACGAACTCATATAAGCTTGCAGTGTCCAGCGGGCATAACTGGACACTGCAAGATGGAGGTTCCTAGGGTTGTGTCTGGGACCGGAGATATTGGCTAGTGTCATTC